GACCTGGTTCAGTCTATCGCAACCATTCTGAGTTGCCTACACTCTCATTGCTCAGGCAGACAACCTGGAAAGAAGCCGACCGCACGAACGTCATCGATATTGATCAGCCGCCATTTCTTGCAGTATATCCGGCAAGGTGCAGGTGGGGTGTCACAAGTAGCCCGCATTGTGCAGGCTGTACAGGTTGCGGTATTTCTTATACAAAAGGACGGACTTCATATTTGAGTCCGGGTACTTCTGGTCAAGAGCTGTGACACTTTGGCGCAATATTTCGGCGAGAGTGTACGTTTTTGGGGGGTGACAACTGTGGATGACGGGTTCTGCTTGTAGTTTGTCGACAACACATATGGGACGAATTAATGCTAGGACTCTGGTACACCTTTCAACCTTAACCGCAGTACACTTAAGCAAAAAGCATTGCGTTGTGGACCGCAGTCCCTTAATGCCTTCTTATCACCGTGACTCCTGATCTGGACAGCCGCCTGATCGCCTGTGCGCTTGACCAAACCAGAAAAGTCAACGAACGTGCGAGCCAGCTGCTCTGTTGATCATTGTCGCGTACAAGCGGGTCAAAATAGCGATACTAAGAATACAACTCATTTGTCAAGGCCGAGTGAAGAACAACCAATGAAATCTGTCTCAACGAAAACGGTTATTCCGTTGGCTGTTATATAGTCCCATCACGTTCGGAGCTGGTTCTCCTAATACACTGTAGGTCACTTGATGTAGAGTACCAAGTTTTTTGAAGGTGTGAAAGAAAGCCTAGCAATGTTCAGCCATTTGAGATAGTCTGGATTAGAGGTAGCCTACACTTGAAAATTTAAGGCTTTGTTTTGCTTGTGCGTTTTTTTTCTTCTTCAGAAAAACGTTGAAACCACGTGTGCCATCTATTCAGCCAGTAGCTAGGTTTCCTTAGCAGTATTGGGCTGCGACTAGAGGCTAACAATTGCTTTGTTCATGGAATACATGCACGGTTCGTGATATCAATCCGCTGTGACCACATTAGTCTTTATGGATTATATATTCGTCTTTGATAACCACCCTGATGCCCCTGAGCCACCATGGTTGTGGAAGACGGCTGCAGTATAACCCCGATGTGTTTTGAAAACCAGCATATATTTGACTAAAACATCACAAAACGAAGGCTGCCAAAGAACTGTTCCGGTTTTCATAAAGGAAACTACTCACAAAGTTGCTGAAAACTCTTTGCCAGTCCACGACCAGTTTCGCCCTTCCAGTTCGAGCTCATCAGGTAGGCGCAATCCCTGAGTTTCCGTCGACCTTATGTTCTTGAACCCGAATTGGATTGTTTTTCGAAAAATACACTCATTTGCAAATCAATTTGGTTTTCACGAGACTCAACTGAAACACTCGTTTATGATATTGTAAAACTGAATGTGCTGCACACAGGCCGCTTCATGATTCATCAGATTCCTTCCAATTTGAGTTCCAGTAGAACATAAGGTTGATGGAAACTTGGGGGCTGCGCCTACCTGATGAGCCCCAAGAAGGGCGAAACCGATCGTGGGCTGTCGAAGAGCCTTCAGCAACCTTGTGAGTAGTTTCCTTCATGAAAATATACTGCGATACCTCGAATATCGTGCCAACTGAATCATGAGGTGGCCTGCGTGCAGCACATTCAGTTGTAGAATATCATAAACGAGAGATTCAGTTGGGTCTCTCGTGAAAACCAAATTGATTTGCAAATGAGTGTATTTCTTGAAAACTATTCCGGTTATTTATACATGGCGTTGTGCTTGTGAAATACAAGCTGTGCCTTTGAAACGGATTTTGTAACACTGTGGTCGTGAACCCAATTTGTGTGGTAGATCCGGGTCTTCGTTGTTTTGTTTTGCTTCCCTTTGGTTCGGCAAGCTCACCGTGTTCTTTCACACTCAATGATAATCACACGGTCTTGCACCGCATACCGGATGTGCAGCATAACTTTTCGTTTCAGTAAAACAGTGGCGATTGCAGTCACTGGAACCTACTTCGAATGGTCAGATTACTTTTACTGCGCGTGAATGCTTTCAAGATCGCTTTAAGACCGCAAGTCCCTGTCAGGATAACCAATGCCCATGCATGATCGACCACAGTTTCACCGTTTCCCCGTTTTCTGAGCCTGACGATTTCACAAGGCAATCATCATCATCGACAGCATGACATCGGTGTTCAACACCGATGCTTCACTGACGTACAACCATGATTTATTTGAAAGCCTTATTGTAAAGAAAAGAGTAAAGATGGACGGGGAAGGGACTTAGTGCTAGCTTATCACAATGAATTCCGAGGTGCCTACATCTCCAGACATTCACTCAGGCAATCTGGATAGAAACTGACAAAAAGAACGCCACTGACATCGGTTGGCAGCCATATCTTGTAGTGTCTCCAACCAGGCACGTTGAGGATCACGCGGTCCCCATCCTGGAAGGCGAGTAGCACCGACAGCACCCAAGCGTTTCGTGATCTCCTTCATACTCCTCTGCCAGGTCAAGGGTTGGCCACCTCTCTGTTTACGCCACTCCGAATTGGGTATAGAAAATAGTACTCTTTTCGGTAAACGATGATTCGGCATGCGTAAAACATGTCCCAACCAACGCAGCTTCTGGTGCTGGACACATTCTTCAATGGAAGTACCCGTTACACAACCGAAAACACGCTTTCTAACTGCCTCGTTACGGATTCGCTGACACCAACCCACACGAGCTATGGTTTTGAGACAACGATTGTCGAACACCTGAAGACGTCTCAGGTCCGCTGCTCGAATAGGCCATGTCTCAGCCATACAAAACAGCCCGTACTCTAGCTTCATACACACGTCCCTTGAGATTCAGGGATAAACCGCTCTGACGCCATAGGTGTCCTAAATTAGCAAACGCGGCCGGAGCCTTGCAGATTCGTGCATGTACCTCATCTGTCACACTATAATCAGGACTAATACAACTTCCAAGATACGTAAAATGTTCCACAACTTCCAGTATCTCTCCCTGGATTGTAAGTGGCGTGTTCAGTGACTGCCCGTCCACGAGCATGACCTTACACTTTGTGGGTGCAAAGTGCATACCAAAGGACAGGATGACTTTGGTCAGTTCATCCAAGAATACTTGCGCCTTCTCCGCCTCTTCGAACATGGGAACGATGTCGTCTGCATATTCCAGATCGACAAGGTTTTTTTTTCACAGGCCATTTGAACACCAAGTACAGATTACGAGAGAAATTAATATCACTGGATTCTTACTCCGGGATTTGTCATCACAAGTTTCATCAGATTCCTTCCAATTTGAGTTCCAGTAGAACATAAGGTTGACGGAAACTCAGGGACTGCGCGTACCTGATGAATCCCAAGAAGGGCTGTCAAAGAGCTTTCAGCAACCCTGTGAGTAGTTTCCTTTATGAAAAGTTGAAAGTTTCTATTCACCACTGCGTGGAATTGTTGTTTGAGGCAACATATAATTACGGTCAGACCGGGCCGCAGCGTGTCATATTGGCAACATCTTTTCCGTGAGCCCTTTCTCCTGTGAGCAACGATCCGTACTGGTGAGACTGAGTTCAGGCTAAAAAATGGCAGAGTATTTTGACCTCATCACCTTTTTCCCACTGGCATGCTTTCACATGCAGTCCACGTTCAAAAGTGTCCGCTTGGTGGTTCTATCGTTCTTACCGGTCGATCATAAGAATCCGAATACCTCAAAATAAAGCTTTATCCTCATTGTGTGTCGACTCATCTTGTGGTGTATCGTGTCCGTTTGTGCTCAGATCTCGATCCTGTCTGTCTATCTTTTACACGCTCTTTAGGTCGCTCACTTAACCTGGTCCATTTGGGCAGCAGTTCGTTCGTGCGATGATGAACACAAGTTTAACTTCGCCGCGTAAGTTTGAGTCCTGGCCACGTTTTTGCTCTACACTCTAAACTCGATCTACACTGCAGCTAAAGCACATCAGATGAATTTGTTTGTTAATGTTTACTGCGTCCTTTTTACCACTACTACCCCTTCGTATCACTTAAAAACAGATGCCATCGGGGTACCTCTTTATGTGGGCTTAGGTCCATTCTGACAAAGAGAGTTTTCCATCAGGGTTCACCGACAGGTATACCTTCACCAACCTTTCTCCGAAGCAAGATGTGCACTTTCCCCCTTATCAACGAATCTTCCCCCTGTACAGCATCCAAGACCTTCAATGTCATTTCGTCTCCCGCAAGAAACTTGAGACTTCTCATTGCGTTTTCGAAAGTGGTAACCAGGTGGTCGGTGGCTCAAGTACGAATCGGGGTGTTATACTACTTATAATTGGACTTAGCGCTCCAGGATTGTTAGTGTTATTATATTGTTCCTGATCAAAGAAAAGCGTTTCCTAGTCGGTTAAACATTCTAGTCTGATGTGTCTTCCTCATTAGCTCTGGAATTCAGTGTTAGGTTCTGGTCCTCCTGGAATTCTGCCGGTTGCGAACCAGTCGGTAGTTCGTGTCGTATCCCTATTGCGTGGTTTCCTGGTTGGTTTATTCTCATATCTCACAGCCTTTGTTGCCTGAGTTCACATCGTCGTCATCCTCATCATGAGAACACTGGTACTTCACTGTCGTACATTACAGTAATTGGTGTTGAATGGATTTGTCAGTACTCAAGAAAGGGTTGCAGAAATGGCACTGGAAACGGCCTAAGGATGGAAAGAAGAGCGAATAGGTGAAAGAGAATGAAGGGAGACGTCTGTAATAGCTTGTTTTTAATTACCCGCCCTGATGTACGCAGCACACAAGGCAAGCCGGCTGATGGTACCACACCGCTCGGTGCGACGTTTATAAATTTGCAATTATTGGTTGTATGTAGGTTGGGATAATCCCAGGGCCCCCACACTCGGACAGGAGGACGATGTGAGGTCTTCAACCAAAGCGTTTGCCTCTAACGCCTAGCCGTACGGCAGCGATGTTTGGTGTGAGGCCGTCAGAACAGCTTACATTTTCAATGGCCAAACCGCCACTCGTATTCGAGCCCCCAACCCTGAGAAGCCCATGTTAGTCGGATCTCTACCCATTGACCAATCTGATGTGAGAGACTGAGGGGCCGTACACTCCCTGGCATAGCTCACTTCTACTTCACAGAAGATGATGTGTTGGTCTGCCTTGGTAATACCCTGCTGGTGAACTAAAATCGAACCTGTTCGCATTTTTACCAGCGCAACCAATAAATAGTTGACTGTGTGTTAGGCGGAACTCCACGTGGACCCCTCTTTACCGCTCGCACTCAGGTGCTGCTACGGCCGAGAGGTTCATCCCACGCAAGATTGGCCGAGAATTTGGGACGCTTGCCGAGGTTCATCGCAAGATTGGCCGAGAATTTGGGACGCTTGCCGGTCCGGCATCACGACGAGGTCCGATTGGTCGAAAGTCTGGACCCAACAGCCAATCATGACTCAGTATTGGCCAGATGCCGGTTGCCAATAACGCATCCAGAATGCGTCAGAATTTCCGGAAATTTATTGCCGCTTACGCTATATATACATATATATATATATATATATATATATATATATATGAAACGCTGTACAAGTGTTCCTGACTTTGTTTCGGGCGTTAATATGCCTTGTGCACCTTTGGTTGTGGTTGTTTTGACGTGAACGCCAGCTTGGGAGACTCAGACCGAGAACTAAGCTGAGAAAAATACGGTTACTACACTGTTAAAAAATCCCTGCAGGGATTCTAACTTGCACTCAGTGGGGGCGTAGATGACATTCATTTATTATAGCCGTGATTGTTTCAAGGGTGGTTTTGTCAACGTGGATCATGCGCTCACTTTTTTACCGTTTCAGCTACTCGATGACGCGAATCAATGAATACCATCGAATGAAGAAAATAATCCTTGCCACTTTTGTTGAAGGACAAAAAGCGCCTGAGGATTTTGTGATACCGTGACTCTATGCATGCCTCGTCTTTGCTTTTCTCAGTTGTTTTATCATTGTTTTATCGTAATCCGATGGCCTCGCCCGTGATATTTGCTGGTCAGAAAGCCCTCCGGCGCTCATCCACCTTAATGGTAAGGCAAAACCCTGCCAATCCACTTTTTTCTCTCTCTTATTGTTTAGCCTTCTTGTTTGTTGCGGTTTATGGAGTCTTGTTCATTTTTTTACTCAGCACAGCTATTTTTGGTGCCCAATCTTTTGTCATGCGGTTCCAGCCTTTTGGAATCCAATACATGTGGTCCCGCGTTTTCTCCGAAAAGATCCTTTAGGGGGGGTTGGTGAACCGCACAAGCAACTCTATGAACATGCACATATCTTCCAAACCTTGATGACAAAATTTGCCATGACAAAATCTTATCGTTGGCCTTAGCCAAATTTTACCGAGTGGTCCGAACGCCGCACTGTAGTTTTTGTACTGGGTGGGGGACGCATGGTATGCATTCTAATCGGGCATTTTGCTGAACTTACTTTCCGTCACGTGGAAGTGAATTTATTACAATGGGAGAACGAACCATGCGCTGTTTTGGGCACCCTTTATCTACCCTTCTAATTCGGACTACCCATTCAATAAGCCGTCATCCAGAGAAGCAGAAGAGTAGTGTACAGCTTCTTCAACCTTGTTGAGAATCATCACATCAACGCATCTCACAAAACCCCAGGGGGTTTGGAACCCCGGCTAGTAGTTTGAGCATTCAACTGTTTGGTCACGAGCTGCCGATCAGCAGTGTGAATAACTCGCACCTAGACAGGACACGACGCCGCTCATCCTTTGCTGATCGGGAGCTCGTGGCCGAACTGTCAAGTGTACGAACTACTAGCTTGGGGGTCGCGGACTCCCTGGAGTTTTGTAGGATTCGCACCTCTGATGATTTCCAACAAAAGAGACAGAGATGCCCAGTACTTCTCGGCTTTTCGGCAGGACGAGCTCCAACAGGACAACTTCTCCATTAAACAACAATCAGTTGGCATTCCGAACAATGTTCGCTTTTCCAGATTTACTGAAAGGAAAGGTTTTGTTGGGATGTACAAGGGTGAAAATTGCCTAAAATTGTCCCGTGCTACATTTGAAGAACATCATAGATAAAAGACTATTTTGCAGAGACCCATTTTTCCCTATTCTGCATAAAGTCTAGTCGGACAACTACAACTTTCGACCGAAATGTAAGAAGAAGCAGGTGAATACACGAATCGGTAGATTTAATGCGCACAGAAACTGCGTTGTTCATGTGCGGTTACGATAAGTGCACATAAGTCAAATAAAGATTTAAGGGGTCTTTTACTCGGTCCGGCTCCATGATGGTCGTCCCCTACCCGGAAGCCAGTAACTGAGCACTAACGATTTCGAGTTTTACTAATTGAACTCGGTAAAACGGATAGGGCGATATCGACTGATTAATGTCTGCAACCCAGTTGATTTTCAAATTTTTGTGGATGCGTCAAACGATTGTAGGTTCGGAAAGTACGCATTTCCAGGAATGTCATTAGTCCCTCAAAAGTACTGAAATCAGTTCTTCTAAGCGCTCCTCATCAGCTTGCAGAATGGTCTCTACAAGACGGCAGCGATGTGCCATCACCGCCTTATTGAAAGCCGACCGTTTAGGCTCCGCGAGCAGGTCCTCAGCTTTGTGAACTTTACCACTGCCACGACGCGCTATCCACTCGGGAATACACAGCTGTCCACACTCAGTCGACCCGACAGTTGGCACTTGTCTGAGCTGGCATTCATTAGCCTGTCGGAGTTTGCCTTCGACACTCACGTTTTGTACAGATATATCCGTTTCAGAAAATGTGTCAGTGGAATCGTGAAATTCGGTTTCCGCTTCATGACGGTAACAGGCTTTTCTGTCCTGAATTTGGCTCGGCTGAGATGCACTTCCCACAGACGCTGAAGATGAACGTGTTGCCCGAGACAGTCGTGGCCTCATTCGGTTTTCTTGTGTCACCATTCTTGGCACGGCTACATGGCTCGCGTTCACATTGGTGTCCAGCTGATCTGGAGCGCCATAAACCAACTCTCGACCTCGAGGACTAAAGTACTTAGCACTCGGTGTTACCCGACTCATTGTATCATCCGACAGACCTACCTCATCGCTCTGTTCCCTTTGGAGTTCTGATTGTTTTCCTCTCGTCAGAGAGGTTTCCGTGTTTCTAGTGGTCCTCTCCGAAGTCGGGCTCAAAACTGTGATAATTGGTTGCTCAACGGATGCTGCAGGACTAAGTGGTTCCACAAAACTGTATCGTGTACTTGGTGTGCATAGATTGGGAGTTTTGCTGGTTCTAGACGGTGCTTTGGAAGGGTTGGCAGACTTTTGAGCTGTTGGATCTTGGGATGCCTGTCCAAGAACGTCATCAAGAATGGAGGGGACATGATGGTCTGTGTTTAGAAATGAAGGTGTTGGATACTGGTCATAACCTCTGGTTCGTCTGCCATGAACAGTGGAATCAACACCAATTAGAAGTTGTTCGACAGCTTGTGAGTGTCCTCGAAGCTGATCAAGTTTCCCAGTAAACTCAACGTCTACGTTGACCGGTTTTTGGAAGTCATTTCCATGGCCACGTGGATCCGTTTTCCCATGCTTCACCCAAACAGGTGGGTGTCCGCCTCCACTGGCAGACATATTCATTTCAGATTCTTGAACATCTACGTCGCTGTTAGTTGCGGTGTCTCTGCTTTCACCGTATTCCTCGGTGCCTTTCACCTCAGAGGACCTTTTATCAGTTACAAAACCGTTTGATCTTCGCGTACCAGTGTTCCCCGGCCTTTGTGGATAATACTTATAGTTTGAGTTTTGATCAACTCCACCCCGGAAGCCACCACCTTTGCTATTTCGCCAACCTCCTTGCGCATTGCTATCATCATCCGGCTTTCTACCATCCCTTTTCTTGCTTGCTCGTCCTGTGGCGGTCGTTGCACTGTTCTGGTTCGCGGTTAATTTTTGTGGATTGTTAGATGTATCCTGAAACACCAAACCCGATCCAGTCATGATCGCGAAATCCGGCGATTTGGCAAAATTGGGGTCGAGCTTGATTGCCAATCCTGCAAGACGGTCATTCTGACCTTCCAAAAGCTCAATATAGACACGTTGTGCCTGGAGACCCCGCAGCAAATTTCTCCGAAGTGCTTCCTGGGCGTTTGTGTGCTGCATAAAGTACGACTCAATCTTCTGGTCTTGAGCCATCTTTTCCCGAACCAGACGTAGGCATTCTTGTAATCGTTTGGCGAGCACAGTCACATCCGTGTGGATTTCCAACAAACGATCTTTCATCGATCCACTGGTTGCTGCCAGGCCAAAGCTTGGCATTGTTGGCCAGGAGAACGTTCTTTCCGACAAGCTCATTGGCCGAGTAACTACGGGCATCGCATAGTTGGCTGCTTGACACATTATCAACTACAAGGGAAACGAAAAGAATGAACCGAGGGATAATTCTGACTTTATGCGTGGATGGTAGTGAGGGGTTTAGGCAAAAATATCCATAGAATACGGTTAGCAAAGTTGCATCTGTGGTAACAGACGACCCGAGTAGTTCATCTTTGGCTTTTTATGGCATGTTCACCAGAGTATCTATTGATCTACAATGAGGGCTACACTGCTCTCAAAATGGCTGGAAGCTAGTCATGCCATGGTCAGTGTGTGCGTGATTTCACGACTAACTTTGGTCATACTGATTGAGAGTGTGAATTTGCACAGCCGTGGTAGAGCAAATGAAAAAAACGAAGTCCGAGGAAGTATTCCGGGATGAACACTCCACTGATCACTTTCATCATCAGCTATCACACAATGTACAACATACAAACATTTGCAGTTGTTTATGGGGCGGAATCTGAAGTCGTGGCTCTGCACAAAAATGTGACCTTGTGGATGTCACACGGCCAAGGCCGTTGAGCACCAGTCTTATCTCCAAATGATCAGGTCGCTGGGCGTGTCCTGTTCTGTTAAATGGCATGATACCCAGTCAATTCTCCGATTGTATCGATGGTAAAGATGGGTAGTTGACGATCAGCACTTCTAATATCATAGGTGCAGATAACTACCCGTTGGTCTTAGCATCTCGCCTCCCGCTCTGTGTTGTTCAAATGTTGACGAATTAATCAGTAATCGGTTATTACTGAATTGCTTGACTACCCCACTCAAAATGAGTTAGTCTCTCTGCAACGACACAGGCAGGGCAGGTCGAAAATCGATGCTCCAGATGAATGAACATCGTACAAAGTAAGGTAATTCCATGTTTGCCAAAGAATTTTGGCGTGTTAGTTTTGTCGAACGAATGATATAGATGTTGACTGTAGGCTGGTGGTGGTTAACGTCGCTCACCCCTTTATACCATACCTACCAATCAGATGCACCCGTGCCCATCGATTACTTCCGCTCGATTTGGTGTTATTGATCGTTTGTCTCATTCCATTCCTGATGACTTGATAGTTATTCACTAGGCTGAGTTAACCTTCCACGTTGTTGGTGAGAACTGGTCCCTGGAAGCAGACGACTTTCTTACGGCTGTAACAATATTACTTTGGTGAAAAACGAGGACAGGTGGGGCCCTGTTTGTGAACTCACATTTCACTGGGTGACTTTGAAGGTAGCAATTCCGTGCCTGTGATCTTATTACCCACCCATATTGACCATTTTTCCAGGGACTAAATTACCTTCCTTATTATGTTACTTCTAATCGTTTGTAGACCAACGTCGATGCGGGTTGATTGTGGGCGAACTTCAAGAAGTCCAATAGATCTCACAAAGCAACCTATGTTGAGGCTACGCAGTCGGAATTTAGGAGTAGTTGAGATGCGTTCATGGTTGACAAAGAAACAGCACCGAAACCAAACCAATACAAGACCATCGTGATGATTTTTTCAAGTCACATGACTTGAGAGCAGACACGATACTCCTGTCAGCTATGTTGCTCGTTCCTGGATGGCAATTGCTGCACTAACAAGAGTAACTATGTAGTGTCTTAAAAAATCAGACAACAAAAAAGTTTCTACAAATTTCCAAGACAGAATTAAAACCTGCTATGAGCCAGCTCAAAGACTGCTGTTGGTTGTTTCCTCCGTTACAGGAGTAGCCTCGATTTTACACGTACCTCCGTGTGAGAGACACAAAGTGTGTGTCAGTTACGATCTAGTAATCCAGGATTGACCTTGTTCTCTCTTTACATTAAAATCCATGAAAGTGATGGGCAGCAGACCTCCCATGAGGACCATAAAAAGCCAGCAGTAGAGCGAGACGAAACCACTCAATCGCAAACGTGGTGCGAATGATTGATGGATAATTACTAGGTAACCGATACTACATGACACTCTAAGGCCTAGTCGAGGCTAAACGCGCAGTGCGCTGCGTTTTCATGGTATGCAGGAGTTATCTATCGGACGAGCCCACAAGCCGTTCTGTTCACTCCAGGAAAATAAATCCGTTCCGCAAATCTGGATTACCTCAATATTACTAACGATTCCCAGGAATGCGGCGTGTGAAACATTGTGGGATCAGTCTTATTTGTGTTGTTGTCGAGATTTTAGTGTCCCTCTCGCTACAACGTTTTTTTCTTGAAACTTGGAGAAGCGACGAACATCGGTTCGAATTCATGCAGTCCACCACCGTATGCTTCGTCGACTTGTGAGTTGCGTTTATTCCATTTGATTGTGAGTCACTGAGGACAAACCTGTTATCTGATTGTGTTCCCGTGAACCTGGCAAACACCACATTGAGACTCTTTAGTGAAAACCTGAGTCGGAGTATACGGCGAGGAGACCACAGAGCTTATCAATTTTTTATCAATTCTTTATCGATTACCTACTCTGAAGAATATTAGAAGGATACTCTGGCAGGCCCCCAAAACCGGATAGAGGATTCGGAACACCCAGTCTCTTGACATAGGAGGTGAAGTAGTGCGGCAGGTTAGCGAGTTCAAAAACCTTCGTTTAACCTTTTTACTCAAAGAACTGAGCTTATCTTACGCCGGAAAATCCCTCTTTTCAACTCAGTCATTCTTCCGGTCCTGATTTCTACCTGCGAAACACTCCTCTACGAACAGAGGAAGGTTGAAGGTTTTTGGCAACTTGCTTCTCCGTTATCTAGGTAAATTGTCCAATAAAGATATATAAAAAAAGTTGTCATATTCTCCTATGTCTAACCCAGCTCCTTCAACAACGATTTCTGCAGTGGTCTGGACGCATACCCTTGGTGTTATCGGGAGTGAACTCAGAACTTCTAGCGTATGGGGTTAGTGTGGTACCAACACCTCCCCTCACCCCGGCGCAAACTGGATGCACCCTATTTATTACTTCTGCAAAGGTGAGATTAGCATGTAAGACTGCTCAGACAGCTATCGCGTTTATCATGATTGGGCCGAGTGACTGACCGGTCTATCGGGGTTTCACTATGGGGTTCTATCAAGACCGTCAACTGACAGTTGAAGCAAGAAGGAAAGATAGGGTATACACTTCCCAGCCGTCAGCATCATGCGCCTTGAACCGCCCATTTGTAGAAAGCCCCAGGGAGAAAAGCGTAGTGACATGGCGAATGTTTTTTGCTACCCTACGCTGAAACCTTGTCTTAGTCATAATGAACGTCATAACATGGGTAATGATGTTGAACAATACTCATACGGGCATCTGAGCTCTGACAAAAGCGCAGCTGTGCATCCAACACTGAGGTTTTAACGTGCGTTTATCGATCAGTGTTCTGCAGCGTTTCATCCGGGTAACTGAACTTTGCTCAGGGCGCACGTCTACGCTGTGATGTACACAAATCCACGTTTTCTGTCCCTACACAAGACGGGTTATGTCACATTGTGTTTCGGCCGTACACACTCAGACACGAAAGGCAACCTAAGAAAAGAAACTCCTTGTATGTAGTACAATTAGGTGAGTTCCAGCTAAGTTCTTTTACTTGAAATGGCTCGGATGTTGAACAGTTCGCACGTCAATTTTAGCTTCTACCAGTAGACTTACTGCTGTCCGACCAGTAACGCTTGATTTGTCGGACTATCCATTTGTATCAGGATTTTTTTCTCTGAATCTTACCTGTGCGGCCTGACTGTACCAGCTAACTTTAACTTCAGGTCTGTCTAGTGACTGTGTAAAGGTGTAATTCCTTATTGTGAATTGTTTTGATACAGCAAAACCGTTTTGTTTCGGTACTTCGTTGCAAAACCACCCGAAGAAGGGCTGGAATACTGCCAGCTTCTACAGCTAGACAGCAGCTACTGGGATGCCGGTGATAGGTTGGAAGTGCGAACATTCCGGCGAAGGCACCGATCAACAGGAGATAGGTTAAACGTAGGCCTCATCACCTCAAAATCGCTACTGAAACAACTCCGGCTTATAGTAGCTTGATGGCCATCAGTACATTCCCGGACTCTTAACGTGATATGAGAGAAGTTAGTTTTCTACAAGTGAAAAATTGGGATGAAGGCTATACATGATGCATAATTAGAAGACCACTCACACCTACTTTTCCCTGTGCCTTAAGGTGGAGTTCACTTATGATGTAGGTGTGTGCGGTGGGTTCACATAAACCGAAAGCATAAATCCAGAGTAGCTATCAAAATAGAACCGTAAGTCACTGTAAAAATCGCGATTGGAAGGACAATTTGCTTGAATGCGAAGATGGATTCACTAACTCACCTGAAAATGCATTTGTAGGAAAAAGAATCCGCGATAAAAGTCCACAACAGGTAGCAAGTGAGTCCCACTATCCGTGGTTGCTGTTGCTAGGTCAACCTCAGGCGGTATATCCAGGTTATCTACGTCAACGTTGAATTTGTGGTGAGTAAGCCCTCCATGTAATGCCTGTTCTACGGAATCTGGCGCATTGATTGGTGGTGGTAATGAAGGACCAATTACCGCCGTCCCCGTACCTGATCGATTAGGATCACCATCCGGCTCCACACCGATGCGGTTGACTATTCCAGTTGTCGCACTACCAGGTGAGGGCATGCCATAACGCTGAAGTAAGTATTCCCTCAGTGCGACATTTCTCTTTAATCGGCCTTGTGCTTCAGTTTCAACACTGGCCAAATCCTCACGCAAGCGCGTAATACCAGCTAAACCTTTCGTTAATTGATACTCAACTAGGTCACGTGTAAATCCGTGTTTACAAGCCAAAAGCTGATCTCGGTATTCTTCCACCAAATTGAAACTGCCAAGGAAAGCATCTTTCACTTGGAGCATCAATCTCAAGCTCCCCCGAATCATAGGTGGATAGTCAACGGTAGGTAGAATGTCCTCGCCCATTTTTCAAGTAAAGTTTGTTTTTCTTTTCTGTCTGTTTGCTTAACACAGTGATCCCATGAGGGTGATGGTGTAACTTGGGGCAAGAAAAAATGGGTGTTCTGTCCCTGTTCACACTTAATTCTTACTAGCAGTGTGATTCACCATAATGTACTCCTATCGTCCGGTACAAACTGCCCTCGTGTGTTGTTCAAACACGCTCAATATCGATTAATCGATACCGCTGGGCCTCACAGCTGAGGAGCTGTTGGATCAGTTCGTTGCTCAGTCAGTCAGTCACCAGAGCCTAATCGTTCAAAACACAAACAAACAGAATAGTCATAATAATATGGCCTGGAAATTCAGGGTTGTACACAGCTACATAGACTTACATGCGCTATACTCCTTAACTAAAGTCGATGAGGCCATGAATGGTGGCCTTCTTCGTCTCTGGATGATACCAGCATTACTTCCGATTTAAGTAGGGAACAACAGTAGCAACAGTAGGTGACACAACAGCTTTATTCCAAACAAGCGAGGGCGAGGGCGTGAGTGCGTACTCAAGATATTTTATTGCAGGGACACGGTTTAACCTTGGTCCAACGCTGCTTCGCCCTATCTGGCTCCGATGTAAGGCTGTCACGCGCCGCATAATGCGGGGGCGTTGTCTGACCTTGAGTGTAAGCCTGTCACGCGCCGCATATTGCAAGGGCGTTGTCTGAATTTGATCAACTCTGACTCTTGTTGTCTGGGTTTGATACCAGGCTGTCACGCACCGCATATTGAGGGAGCGTTGTCTGCCTGGTCAGCGGGGTTGAAAGTCAGATTTCAGGCATTCAGTGGTTACTTCCAGGAATCTGACCTTCCTGATAAAAACCACCTGCACTACGGGAGATGTAGTATCGTTGATGGAAGGTTCGTCTCAGAAAGCAGTTTGTGTGCACAAAGACCTAACGGTTTTCACTTTACGTGGATTCAAGGGGAAATATGGCACACTGGGTTGATGAACTTGAAGGTATTACAGCATTCTAATGCCTGGGTTCTCCTATTCTCTCCGAGAGGTTGACCTCCACATCCATGCGACACAAAAAGGACATATGGAAGAGAAATTAAATCGGCTTGCACATAAACCATCATTTATTCTGCGCAGCTCCTTCTTGGCAAATGCAAAGTAGCGCAATCGTGGCGGGTCACGGTGCGTTACCAAGGTAACGGCAAGCCAAAGCGACAAAAACGGTAATCACTCTCAAGTGCCCGTGCGCAAATCAACGGATTACATGCCGAACACTCAAGACTGGATACCTCAACCATTTGATCCCAATGTGACTAGGTTTAAACAGCTAGTTCTGTGGCTTTGGTGTGGTTTTCGATCGCGTGTTGCATCCTTTAGAAAGATTTCCCTCATGTAAACATATTGAAAAGGATGTCATCTTTTTACGCCTGCACGATTTGTAAGTGGGTGGGAGCCTACAACCTGCCGGATAGATTTTCCAAGCTCAATCATTTGTCCGTCATTGATCCGCAGTCTGACAGCGCAATTTCCCTAACAACGCACCCTTATTGCAAATCCATGTTGACTGGATCCTCTCATACCTAGCAGGATGTTCTCTTTTCTAAATCCGTTACTCATGTTTTGTGAGTAGTGAAAGTTCCATTCGTAAGTTTTACCCCACAAGGTCAGCTTAGTCCATCGGGTAATGCCTGGTACCACAGGCTGGTCACAGCGCTGTTCAAGCATGCGCCAGAAAGGGAGTATCTGGCCGCCATTCAAAAGGCCTCTGTTTCAGAGTCCCCTAAATCCTCTGTACTGTACACTGGTAACGATTCCCAGTCAACAGTCGACCGTATATGAGCCACTAGCTAGACTATCAAACGTACGATTTTCGTTCTCATTGAGTACAAAGCCTACTCCAAGAGCGAGCTTGTCCAATCTGGGAGCGATGGGCACGCAAACTTCCTATACTGAGAAGTAGTCACTATTAGTGTCCCATCAGCTTATCTGGCAGTTTGAAGAGAACCATTCATATTCCGATCCCCGTTGCACCGCGCCCCCTGTTCGGCGAGGCACACGTGCATCCTGTCACGAGAACCCCCATAAATTATGTTTGAACCATAAGGAAGGTTTGGTTAGGAAAGAGTATCCTATATCACTGCAGTTAAGATTTATTGATATCGATCATTTTTGTTCATCAGCTGATGTCGCTTTTAAGCGCTCCCTATCCGTGTCTGCCTCTTTTAGGCGATCAACCCTCTGGTTTGCGCATCACAAAGACGGAGCCTTGCACTCGAATGTGTTCATACTTTTCACCATTGCTGGTAAACATCCTCGACCGCTTGGATCTTTCAGTTTCAATAACTTGGCAAACGCAATCGTTGCTCCCAATGCACGCCAAACGCGTCTAAATTACCACCGGCGAACAGGCATATGTATTCGTCCCTAATCGATTTTCGCGGCTGACGTGCCAACTCAAGCAGGTATTGGCCTGATTTCTGATATTGATACACGCTTGTCAAGGCCGTTCTTGAGGCAGCATACCACACAGTGACAAAATAGGTCAGTTTGAAAGAGAGTGGTATGGATAAGGAAACCAAAACATAGCTAGATGGCGAAGGCATTTAGACATTCTGAGAGGCTATCCGTCATTGACGAACTACACTCATTTGGACGGGAGATTCATCTGGATCCCAGTTGAATTTCTCGTTTGTGATGTTTAAAGCAACTGAATATGCTATCCTTTAGCTTTTTCTCCAAATGAACGGATAAGCACTGGTCACTTGGATCATCAGAAGTGTAGAATTCACCCAGCTCTCGGTCCCAACGTCGACGAATCTTCGTATTCTTACGGCGGTATGCGAAAATTCGGCCTTCAGCGTCCAGCAGTATTTAGACCTGGTAGTCCATAGTTTCACATTCCGATAGAGATTAGAAAATAGTGCCGTAGGTAAAGACGACCCATATTATTGGTGTGTTTTCACCCTCAAGTTATTTTCGACTCCAACAGTGGCTCAATTGTTCCAACCAAGGAGGTTAAACGGGAATGCCTCCGAATCTCGCTATCAACATCCACCTCTTATACTCACCTACTTCTGAACATGTGGGCATGTGAGGATGTCCCAGAAGCTTCTCTACAACAAATGATGATCAGCAAGGAAGTCCAATCATTCCGTTTCTGTTCACCTATCTCTTAAAAAAACCGCTGCGAACGCTACAGGATATGCAGAACTTTGCCACTCAACCTGTTGTTGGTGAGATCCTCGCCCACTAGAAGTACGCAGGTGACATGGCTGAACATCTTTTGAGGTGAGAATGAAGCCTTTGTCCAGATAAACTAACAACAAGGATACCTCGCTTTGGAACACACCTTGAATCCAGAAATGGCAAGTTAATAATTCAGAATGTTCTATCCCTCAAAAGCCAGTACGAAGTGCCAGGACATATGGTGAGCTTTACTTACACTGGTAGTTGTAGTAGGTCTGACGAAGTCATTGAATAAACCTCAGACTTTAGGTTGATGTTTATCAATTTGCTTCAATAGTGGCGTCAAAAAGACATCATTGTCTTAAAGGTGGCACGTAGCGCGCCAAAGTAGGGGCTGTATTTTAGTATGGTTAGGAGGCCACCTCTGCCGACAGATAGTCTTAGGAACCCCCAGGCTTTTTACCACTGATACGTTTTGGATGATATCACGGAATTAATAACACGACGATCAACAATGAACATTTTCTTGTACAACAGTTACTTCGGTTGGACAATGTGGCAGCATGTCAATGTGTACAGCACGAAACAAACGACACATTCCATTAGCATTTCCATCGGGTGACACAAATTAGGAAGTTGTTCTGACGAAGCACACTACTCATAAGGTTGCTGAAAATTCTTTGACAGCCCGAGACCGGTTTCGCCCTTCTTGGAGCTCATCAGGTAGGCGAAGCCCCCAAGTTCCACTTGAAACCTAATTGCACTAATTTAGCGAAGTACACTCATTTGAAAACGAATTTAGTTTTGCGGGAGACTCATCTGGAACCTAGCTGGATTTCTCGATTATGATGTTTCTAAGCTACTGAATGTGCTGCACCATAAGGTTGTTTTTTCGTGATGATCTGAACACGACAAATGTCGGTCGGTAGATTTCTGAAATCTAGATGCCCCTGCTTGTGATTATTACGTTTCTAAGATCAGTTTTGTTTCACAGCACACGTCAAATCACTTTCACATATGACCATACTCCATTCCTAGTAAAATATCTACCGATCTTTGTAACGGCGGATACTACTGATGTGATGTGCGAGTAGTCTGTGGTATTCTCGAAGCTTCGCCCCGCATCTAATGAAAGGTGAAGCATATTACGGAACTTGTTCAGCTGCTTTGCAGTGTTCATTTACAATTGCGTGATAGCCGTGAATATCCATGAAAGTTCCAAAAGACGCGTTAGAATATTCAGTTTTTAAAAACTACGTCCAAATGAGACGTTTTATTTTCTTGTCCAATAGTTCGTAATTACTTAGTTCGTTTTTGCTAGTAACTGACTGCATTGCGAAAGGCTTTCCTCGTCACACTTGTGCAAATTACCATACTCAATTCTGTTCTTATCTCAAGAGTCAGAATAGATTTCGGTTTACTATCTGATAAAATAGCGAAACAATAAAATTGCTTCAACTGATCAACGAACCAACGTGCCGATTTGGGGGTCACATATCTGAGTTTTCTATCCTCATACGCTTTTTCTCTTGTCTCGTTCGGATGCCTCTGTGGTTTGGGGTTATTAGGAGAACCAGCTCTGAACGTAACGGGATTATATAACGGCCAATGGAATAACCGTTTTCGTTGAGACAGATTTCATTGGTTGTTCTTCACTCGGCCTTGACAAATGAGTTGTATTCTTAGTATCGCTATTTTGACCCGCTTGTACGCGACAATGATCAACAGAGCAGCTGGCTCATACGTTCGTTGACCTGGTTTGGTCAAGCGCAGCAGACTATCAATCGGCTATCCAGACCGGAGTTCACGGTAATAAGAAGGCATTAAGGAGACTGTGGTCCACAACAGGGGCTATGTATTACCCTAGTTGTTCCATATGAAGTGCTCATCTACCATGTAAACGAGCTGTTCCGGGTCCCTGGTTTTGACACCCAAAACGGAAATCTCTTTTACTTTATGATGGAACTGATGCTTCATCCTTTGTTGAATTAATGAAAACCTCGG